CATTACACACACATTATCATTATGTTACCAGGCAGCATTACCTAGTCCTAACATTCAAAATTACAGTGCAATAAAGAAAATCCAGTGAAATGTGAAGAACTTTGAGAGGAAACAAATTACAAAGCCTTCAAGGCACTTTAGAATTCACGATTGGTTGACTTTGTCTAATCCAATCAGTGGTGGGCTCTCTTGGGCACCTGTGGTTATTGATAGGGGAGAGTGGGGTAAGATGCCCAGGGTGGGAAAGACGCCCCACCCCCTCTAGCGGGGAAACAAAGAATCGAACCTGGAAATTAATGTTCTTAGCGTAAAGCAGAAGCCTGCCTTGTTAACTGCACAAAAATTTGCGAAGCTCAGTGTGGCAACGGCTGGCTGGTGATTGCATGTTTTTTATTTGCTGCTTTCAAAAAATATTTTGGCGTCAAAACATTGTAAATATCAAAAAAGGTAGATAATTTTTGCGTCCCTTGCTATAGTCGTGATACATTAACATGCGTGTACTGTGTCCCAAACAGTTTGTTTCAGGGTGTAGTTTTATGGCTAACAAATTGTGCTGATTTAATGTTACTTCGGTACCTTGGGGTAAGATGCCCCCTGTCCTGATGGGGAAAGACGCCCCCCTAAATCCGTAGGCTGTCCTTCAAGCAGCCCGTCAAATCATGTATTACATACTTGTGATGAGAGACAAAAGCCGATCTGGGACTATTGAGAGTCCGGTACGGTCGGGTGCTCCCCATGCCGGTCTCTCGGCCCACACAGCGACTTTTTGGGCGGCATCTGACTCTGAGAGCCCTCACGACGGCCTCTGTGGGCCCCATTATTGGTTCTATGGCCCCTCACGACATCCTTTGAGGGCTCCCACGTTGGCTCCACGGGCCGCGCTGGCATCTGAGGTCCCCACGATGGGCTCGAGGGCCCTCAAGCATCATGAAGACCTATAAGGGCCCCACAGTGGTCTCCGAACGCCACCACGGAGGCTTGCTTGGCCACGCTGGACTATGATGGCCCTAACAATGACCTCTGAAGCCCCTTACGACTACTTTTGAGGGCCCTTACGATGACGTTTGGTGTCTACTGCAGGCTCGAAGGGACTACTGATTCGTTCAGGCGATTCACGTGCCTATTTATGTCACTTTTAGTGCAGGGGGCATCTTACCCAGCGCCAGGGGGCGTCTTTTCCACCCTGTGGGGTAAGATGCCCCCTTTCACTTCTTCAGGAAAATGCTTGATAGCAAAAAAAAGTTATCATATTTCAGGCACGAAAGTGTGATATTTTTGGAGAAAAATGATGTCGGCTTCCGTTGAAACTCCAAGTTTTGGCTTTTCGATCGTCATTTTCGAATAATATATGACATAGTCAAACCCTGGGCATCTTTCCCCACTCTCCCCTACCATTGATACAGGGTTATTGATACAGTTATTGATTTGTGGTTATTGATACAGGGGACTGATGCATCCCTTCAATATTGATACTTTGATTTTTTTCTAAGCCACCTTTCTTTTACCACACAAAAAAAATGAGATGCAACAAGCAGCATGCTATTGCTGAGTTGTATCAAATGTTGACAATGCAAGCCATTTGCAAGAATTCAGAAAACATGGAAGTTTCAGTTAAAAGGACCAAACATGGCAAAATAGCAGCAACTTTATTGAATTATTTGAAATACAATAGCTTTGATGACTCTGGACTGATGACGGTACAGCAAAATGAGACAAAAATGGAGCCAGAACAATTAAGCCTGCATTTGGAAAGGCTGTTTTTCATGTGGAATTCTTCATAAAACCGACATCAACATAAGAGGGTAAATATTTACTTTAGGACCGGCACACTTTTTCAAAGGGAAATTTTCGACAATCTTCCATTATTTGACATCCTAAATCAAGAAATGATACTTACATGTCACCAAAACTGCAAAAAGTCACACAAAAACTTGATAAAATCCAGCCATCTCACCGCGCGTCACGTAACGTACACTGACGAAATTATACGAATGCGGCGATTACGATATAAACGTGTTTGCGCCGTTGCCATTTGCGAAAAGGAAAAATATGTGCATGTTTAATTCAATGAAAATGACGTCATAATACCAAAAAAATACATATTGGCGAAATTTAAATGGTTAAAAATTGGGTGATATGGGGTAGGATAGCAAATTAAACACGGAAAAAATTATCAGAACATAACCTAACCTTACCTAACCTGACCTACTGATATTTGCCTACCCGGGGATAAGGAAAAAGTTGCTCGCATGAATAGATTGCAAGCAATGGTAGGTCAAATATTTTTAGGTTAAGTGATTGTGCATTAGGCTTCAGGCCTTCGGCCTGAAGCCAAATACACAACCACTTAACCTAAAAATATTTGACCTACCATTGCCTGTAATCTCTCCTAAGGCATTGCCTTCGGCACTGCCGCTGCTTCGCGACGAGAAATTTCATGACGTCACTTTCCTCACAGTTGAATAGCATCGTTAATATGTATTCACTAAACCTTGGAGCGCAGTGCGTGGCCGGTGGAGTACGCAGTCGGTGGGATCTACGGCGGTGACGGTTAATATTGTATTGGTGCATTGTAACTTGTTTGTGCCATGAATGACTATCAGCTATGAAATCAAAAGGTCAAATTATGTCATGCGATATGCTTCTTACTATCACTTGGGGTTCGTGACGAAAGTAATGGCTGCCGGTCCTAAAGTAAATAAATACCCATAAGAGTATCACAAAACGTGAGGAGTCCCAAAGTATTCTGCAACATGGGCCTGCCCGAACAACGGCTTCATGGGGAACTCTAGCATAGAAATACCAGGCAAAAAACATTTTATGAATGCACAATAAGCAGTTCATGCTGCACATGATATAAAATACAAATATTTAGCAATTTAGCATGTTGCCACAGACTGAGACGTTGCAACCACCTCGACTTACTTCTCCTTTTCACCTTTAAGCTTGAGCTTCCCAACTTTCACTTTGGCATATTCTGACATGTTTGCCTGTAATCACAAAGTTTTTTTTACGATAATAAGCACAGCAAAAAGCAGTAAGAAAGAATTATAATTACTTAGCTAAACCAGGGGTAGCCAGTAACAGTTGGTAGCATTAGGCCAAATGGGCGCTCAAAAACTACTACCCCATAGGGTTTCCATGTTAAATCGACCTTTTTCAAGCGAGCCCCACACGTAAACTAAAAGATAAAGTGCCAATATTATTGTGGGGAAAGGTAGCCTCAAGCTTCCTCTACAATCTTTTTATCTAGCGTTTTTCGATGCGGAGGCCATAACAGGTCCAAAAAGCATTGGGCGCTGCCCGAGGTACCAAAATCCCCTCCATAAGAGCACTAGTTCCTGCGCATGCGCACATTGCCTCAGCCCTGTACTAGCGTAAGCTGGTGATACTGCTCATGGACTAGATCAGCCAATGAGCGTCCCCGATTACATTAATAGACGTCGCTAGCATCACGTAAATCCTGCTTGCGAACACATTTTAAGAATGAAACAGCTGCGCCATTTCCGCCTTCCATAGATTCCTTCCATCTTAGTATCAACTATAGGCTTTTCAACTAACTTTATGCTAAGTTTTAAACTATGGTTAGTATGTTATTTCTGGTTCATATAATTTAAAAATAACTGCTTTATGAATTTGACTTTACTCGTCAGAATGGAATACACTATTTATTCCATATTCAAAAAATATATCACCTTCCATGTAATTCATCCAGGTAAAATGGGCGCTTTCCGCGTCGTTGGTGTACCCGTTGTTCTATATACCCTGAGCTAAACAGCTATTACAATAGTGTTTCAAAATTAATGGAGTTCAGAGCCAGTTTCAGGAACTTGATCAACAATGCTAAAAACACTTGTTGCCTGGTAATTTGTAAATTATTTTGCCGATTGCTAGGCAACAAGCTGCTTACAGTTTGTAGTGTACATTATTGAACATATTTACGTATTAAATGAATCGTCACAAATGCGCTGTTGTTGTATGATATTAGCGCTTCTAGATGAGATATGGTAGCACGACTAGGAAAATTCCGTTCTTTGCGGCTCCTTCATAGGCTCCTTGCATCCTGCCTGCCTATCATGTTATCATGGATGAAGGAGAACCTGGATTGGAAACTAACAGCTGATTGCGTTCCCTTCGGTAAGTGCCCGAGGGCACGCGCGGCGGCAGCGGGAGCCGCGTCTGCCGCGCATTCACTGGCGCCGCGTAAGCGTTCACCGGCGCCGCGTAAGAGAAAAACACTAGAAATGGCCCTCTTTTTCAAGGTCGCCTGTATTCGGCCCTCGTGTACGACTTTTGTGCGGAACGGACAATAATAGTTTTGATCTCATTCGATAGCCTGATCAATTTTGTTTGTCGTAAGTAGCTTCTAAACCTAAAAATAAATCCGCATTGCGGTCTAATACCCGTTTCAAAACATGCCACCCCGCGTCCCCCATAGGCCGCGGGAGTTTCCAGTCCCGATACTTACCGAACGCTAGGTGGCAGGTCGATCGCCCGGAACGCTGCCCGTAATGTTGAAGGAATAGGAGTTTCCTATCCAGGTTCTTTCATCCATGATGTTATCATTTGTGCTGTAATCGTTTACGTAATGTGCATTTTTCATGGATGAGACGGAATGAAAACTAAAAAATGAGGATTTTTCATAAAAGTAGTGGCCGACATGCCGGTGCAATGTTGGAAGCGTAAAAACAGGGGTGGACAATTGTGCCGAGTTGGGGTAGCACGAGCTTTCCCAATTCCACGCCGGCTGCGCCGGCTTGGCTTTGGAGCCGCACCAGACGGCGGAGGTCAAGTCACCGTTAGGGCGGCGGCGGATTTTCTGCGCCCGTGCAACCCCAACTCGGCATATTTCTCCACCCCTGCGTAAAAATGAAAATGCACCAAATGTCCCCCTTGAATCTGCCAGTGTGCTTGTTCCACTTGAACCTCCATGTGGTACATTTTTTTTCTTGACACGCCTGACACGTTTCACGAAATCTCAAATCAGCAAACGCATCGCACACTGGGTTATCCATTGTATTATGGTCAGACCGGCACTTGTAAAATAAATTAACACCGTCTACGAACTGGCATAAGCATTTAAACGGGTGCAGCGATCCATAGCAGGAAAATATAAACACTTCTTACAGGTAAAAGTACTTACATTTTTCACATGTGCAGTGCAGCTGCTGTCCACCTCTCGTGGACACGCGACAAAACAATAACGGTCTGCACTGACGGGAAGGCGGCACCAGAAAACGATCGAGTGCGTAACCACTGGAGAGGGCCACCCTCACCACCAGCGATGAGTGTCACCAGTCACCACTCGGGCACCGTCCAAGCACCACTGTTCACCATCAGCCCATCTCCAGCACAACGGGAATGTTACAGATTCGTCGCACAGAACACCACCGCACCATTCACCGGCGGGCGAAGGGTTCCACATACAGTATTCGGTTTTTGTTCCACTGTCACCGGCAGTTTTATGCAACTCCGCAACTCGAACGACCTGCCTCCGAATATACAGGCGCGGGGACGCTTCACAGCACACGACTCTGGACTCCGGTCCGACTCACCACTGGACTCTCACAAAGCAGCTGACGGAGTCGAGTCATTTGTACCACCTCAGTCAGACCTCACACTTCCCTCACATACGCAGTTCGCACACTCGGAGACATAAAAATCACAGACAGCCCGTGCGGGCCGGAAAACACACCCTGATGACGTCACTGCGTCACCCCGTGACGTCACTAGCTCATGACGTCACGCCGGGAGGTCAGAGCACCGTTGCGCCGCTACACGGTCCACTTTTTGAGTGCAGACACGCCGAGTTTCAGCCAGCTGCTGCGCGGTACCATGGCCTGCTGAAAGCCCTCCGAACCGGCCAGTACACAGGCTCCCAGGTACGCGGCGTGGTACCGATACGGCGACGCGTGTACCTGTAGAGAGCAAGAGATGCGTCAGATACATATATCTATGTGCGCAGCGGTGGGGTACCGGTATGGGAACGCGTGTACCTGTGGGCAGTATAGTGTACCTTTGACGGATGCCCAGGTAGGCGGCAGATGGTACCGGTGAGGACTGAGGAGAGGCGTGAACCTTAGGATTCATCTAGGTATGTGAGCCTATTCACGAGTCTGGACAAACATATTGTTCTGCTGGTCAGACACAATGGTGACAAATACAAGTAACCACCGTACTTGTGCCACACAATTCCGAGAAGCAAAAATTAAACGTTAAAAACGTTATAGTCACAATGTTTCAAGTCACAAGTAAAGAAGTTCCAGATGCTCAAGCTAAAAAGTATATTTTATATCCACAAATTATTACCATTACGATAAAATAACGTACATGTAGAACCCGTCTGATAAGTGACCTGTGGCCCCACTGACCTTGGGCGTGACCGAGGGTGGCGTCAGCTTATCCATCTCGGCCTGCAGTCGCTCGGCGAAGCCCGGCAGCAGGGTGACGCCGCCGGCCAGGTAGATGGAGCGCACCATCTCCTTACGAATGTCCACGCTGCACTCCTGTGTGACGTCACAGAAAAACGACCGGTCAGAGCGCTCTACTCTACAGTCTACACTGAAACAGCGATAACTGAAGTGGAGACGCGTTCAAAATTGACAGTTTCGACATCATGAACTATTGGCAAACAGCTCATAAAAACGTTTATTTAATCGGACGCTATCGTTTACAAGTCCTGCGTTATCAGAGTTTACTTATGGTGCAATATAACCATAGTTACATTCGTTCACATGATCTAAGCACGCCAAAGATCACGATGGAATTCGAACTTCGCATTCCAGATACGCCTTCAATCATCGATCCGCCTCTAAGGGCGGGTATTTGCACAAAACATACCTGAACTGCCTTGTGGACGAGCTTGTGGACGCCCTTGTTGTCCAGTCCCCAGGCGTCGGGGTTGAAGAGGCCCTCTGTGGCCTGGAACCGGCCGCTGTCGAGGGTGATCCGCCTGTGAGGGAAGGGAGACGATCAGACGAGTTACATGATGTCACAATGAAGTATATCTAAAGTGTTTCTGCTAAGTTTTGACACATAAAGGTACTTGCCACTTCTTTATCTACCAGTATAACGCCTTTTGGGGCGACTAACGGAGCGAGCGAGGGGGTGAGTCTTGCACGTGCGAAATTTCGAGGGGGTACCTCCAACTGACTTGTGCACGGCACCCTACTGACCGGTTTCTAGCGATGTGCCAAATTTGAGCACAATCGGCCCAGCCGTTCTCGAGATCTGGAAGCGGCACCCTGCACGTGCGCACGTGCAAAATGGGTCCCAACTGACTTGTGCACGGCACCCTACTAACTGGTCCCTAATCGTGTACCAAATTTGAGCGCCATCGGTCCAGCCGTTCTCGAGATCTGGAAACGACCCCTGCACGTGCGCACGTGCAGCAGCACCCCAACTCTGGCACATGGATATGCAGTGCCTAGTGGGTGCCTATCTACATGCCAACTTTCAGCGCAATCGGCCAAGTAGTTACCGAGATATTGCAACAATTACAAAACTGTCACCACTTCGTTTTGCACGTGGCACGTGCATAAGGGGTCACCCACATGCATCGGGAATAGTCCAATACTTGGTAGAAGGAATGAAGCTACCCTACAAATTTTGTTTGTTTTTTGTTTGTTTTGTTGGGTTAGGCCCTTTCGGTCCAATTAGACCATTTCAGAGCCGGGAGGATGATAGGATATAGGGGGAGACATTGGTCTGGGCAGGCACCCTAGTGAGTCGCCGGGGCTGAGCCCGTCCAGAGGACAGGCCACCCAGCCTCAAGGCACTCACTGCACCCGGCTACGGGGTGCGCTCCCTCGGGAGCAGCGGTGCCGCTCCAAGGGAGCAGCCCGCATGAGATAAAGTTGCCTGTCCAGCCCGGAGGGGGGTTGTGGCGTGGAGGAGAAGGATTTCAGTATCCTGAGGATAGAAGCACGGATAGGTGAACCCTACAAAATTTACCGCGTGTAAATCGGTCAAGTGGTTGCTGAGATATAAGCCTCGCAAAAGCGTCCGCACGGCCGGCCGGCCGGCCGGCCGGCCGCTCATACTCAGAAATTTCTGTTAATCTAAGGAAAGACTACGCTCGCTTCGCTCGCTCCGTAATCACGCAATATCACGGCATTTCGCTTTCAGGCCATGCGGCGCAGTATCACTCCAGGCGCTTACTACTAGTGCCATCTAGTGGCTGGAATATAAGTTAGCAGGAACGCCGCCAGACGTCCACTAAAACAATCTTGTTATTTAACACCGCACACATTTTCCGAAACGAGTAGCCAGCTCCTCGAGCCATGCTGTCTGTCTCTGCGTTACTCACTTCCACGAGACGTTCTCCCCGAGGAACTCCTTCACGGAGACGGTCTTCTGCACGCTGGCCGGGTCCTCAGAGAACTGCCTCAGGTCAGCGCCATACTGCTCCGAGACGAAGCAGAGGCGCTCCATGACGTAGCGCAGCAGCAGCGACTCCACCTCCGTGACCAGGGAGTAGTGTTTCTGCAGCAGGAAGTGCCGCAGGTGGTCCTGTATCCGCGCGCCGCCGTATGGTACCCGGGATACGCCGCCCTCCACGATGTAGCCTGTGGTGAGAGATGGGGAGGTGGTCAGAAGGGTATACGTCGGGTTTGGTAGGTTTGTTGTCCGTCGCTTGAAATGCGCTGAGCAGAAATGTTATTTAACTGTAACATAGGAGATAACCGGTCCGAACTATTTTTCCTGTTGAAGATAATGCGAATTACTGAATAATAACTGAATAGCGTCTATAAAAGGGTGATGGCTATTGTGAGCAATATTTCTCTCATCTATACTTCGATATCATATGATAAAATCCTGATCCTAATCCTGATCGATATCATCAACAGATTGTTGCCTTGTTGACCCACACAAACAAGATAACCCCGCACAGGCCATATCAGCCTGAGATATCGATTCGCTCACCATCAATAACGGGCACCACATCCATCCTGTCGCCGACATCGACCACCACGCCACTGGTGGCGTTGTAGGACCACATGGCCAGGATGCTCTGGTGGGTCAGGTTGACGCCCTGCGCGCCGAACTTGTCGAACAGCAGACGCAGGATCTCCCCGAGTGTGGCCGTGTTGAAGCTGCGCGGCAGGCTCAGCTGCACGCAGTAGTCGGACGGGTTGATGCGCAGTTCGCGGAACGTCAACTGGAGGAGACCTGACAGCGCCTGCACGTCCACGGAGTGCTTGGTGATCTTGCTGGAGGGGCGGAGGGGGAAGGAGAGGGTGCCACCGGCGCGGGCCTCCGGTCGGAGCGCTGCAGAGCCAAACACTGGCGCTCCGCCGTCCCGGGAGGTCACCATGGCTGCCGGGAAGAACAGCTGCGGCAGAGTGGCTGCGGGGGAATAGAGAACTTACGTCATTGGAGGATCAGACGCAAAATGAGACAGCGCAGAATACTGATTACTGATCTTGAAGTCAGCAAATCCCTGGACAGTCAACTGTGCTATCTGCATGGGCTTATCTAAATAGAAGAGAGCAACTTCTTATGACACAAAACCAGCAAAACCTTGACATCACAACAAGAAGACACATCTTCATCGTCCACCGACCACTACACTTCATCCTTCCATTCCTCAGTGGCCCATGACCAATGCGTCACCCTATACAGTATACACTCCATTACCCCCACTCACGCTGCTCATGAAGGACACCGGCGCGGATGGACGAGCTGCCCAGGTCGATGACCACGCAGCGCCGGCTGGTGGTGACGCCGACCGGCACGGGCACCGGCTGCACATAGGTGGCGTTGTAGTCCTCCACGGTGTGGGAGAGTAGAGCGCGCGTCCACCGCTCGGCCTCCGGGCGGCTGTTGCAGCGCACCACCACGTACCGCCCCTTCTGCGGAGTCGCGGGGGAGAGGGACACTGAGGGCACTGGGGACGAACCTTTTGAGGGAGGAGGGACGTCACTGGACGTCGAACCACCGAGTGAAATGACGTTGAATTGGGTTTTAAGTCTCAAATACACAAGCATCGAAGAAACATTTTTTTAACAGGAATTGCATTAAAAAAGAAGAAATAATGTAAATCGCCAATAGATAAAGACGCATGAGACAAATAGCTACTGCGATCATCGCAACTTAGCGCCAGCCATAGTATTCACAAGCACACATGTAAATCGCGATATCCATCAGCATTAGTGGACAGTAGACTCTGTCGGTTAGATAGCGAAGCGGTCAGAAGGCATGTTGATGTCTCGTTTGACTCACCCCATCATCCAGGCCGATCATGGGAAGCGTTTGAGGCACCTGCACCACCGAGAGCGCGAACCGCGGGAACGGGCAGACGGGCATTGTTAGATGCACGCGAGCGGAGGGACAACAACCAGAGAGATGTGTTTATGTATGCTCAGAAGGGCACGGTAGGGTCGTAGCCTGGAAGACGAGTATGTTGTTTTGTAAACGATAGGTAGAATAAGTGCTTAGACAATAAGTAACGTTGGGATGGCTTTGAAGTCAGAAGAATGCTTCGACTTTTGATGAATTAGTTATACTTCACGATCGTCTTTCAGCTACGATCCTATGACGCTCATTGTATTTATGGAAAACACAGTAGTTGCAATGTAAGCATTCAATCAAGACTTAGCTCATAGGTAGAAAAGTAAGACATATGTTAATATCATAATATTTGTCCAATATCATTTTTTAATGTGGCATTCTTCGCAAATAAGAAAAACAGAGAAAAAAGTTTAAAATCAGTTGAAAAGCAATTACTGAGTACGCCTGGCTTATCAGAAGCCGTCAAACTTATTCAAACAACGTATAATATTCGAAATGAATGCCAGTTACTTCGTTGCCGGATAGACACCTAAAACTCATGCTTAAGTATCGAACAGAAAGTTCAGAAAAGGGACCAGAGAGAAGCACATGTGATATTTCGGAAAAGCGCAAGATGTCATTGGCTGGAGTTCAAGATGTCATGCCATCAGAGTTAATGAAATTCATCGGATTATTGAGGTCGTAACAGAAGTGAACGCACCATTAAAGAAGGTTTTCACCAGTTTAATTTGTCAATCATCATCCGATATCCATGCAATTCAATCAGTTCCGACACACGTATGCCAAAACTTCTGAAGCCAGGCAGCTCTTCGGGAGGTTTGCCGTTATTAACAGTTCAATTGGAGCAGTGGCAGCAGTAGCAGCAGCAGCAGCGACTATACATACGGCTCCCTCCACCAGGCCGATCGTCGTTAGCGACTTACCCCATCGTCGATCCCGACGACTGACGACTCCATGGCCTCCACGTGGCCCCCCATCAGCTGCAGCACCATGCTCGGCTTCTCCGTGGTGTTGGTCTGCCGACAAAAAAGTTAAAACGTTAAACCACTGATCATCCACAGAGACATACAGGGGGTTATTTGTATCAGAGGGTCGAATATGGTAGGCTCGACTCGACCGATGTTTTTTTTTTTTTTTTGACTGCGGCAAAGCTCGTTTCCCAGTGTTTCCGCGCCGACTTTGCGGAAATCCCAGAGGTCACCTGGCTATTTCGGGTTACGGCGCAAGCTGAGAGTTCATTCACCACCACGCCATTACTGCAGAAGTGAGCCTACCGTCTATTGTGACGGTGACGGTATTCAAGGACACGGCTCTGCCGCATTGTTTGTTCGTGCCTTGTTTTATTGTCCCCACATTATGATGAAAACACGAGTCAAAAGTACCCAGTACATGAACGGAAACAATTATCGACAGTTTCCCAAACACGAATCACACATGCACGAGTGAGTTTGAATAGCTTATCACAGCAAAAGGTCACCTACCTGATAGTAGTAGAGGAAGCCGTCTTTGGCCTTGAAGTAGCGCCGCTTCCAGGCGTTCCAGAAGGTGGCCTTCTTTCTGCCGGACGGCAGCTTCTCCAGCCAGCCCTCGATGTTGACGTAGCCCTTTTCCTGGTCCTTGGGACGCTGGGCAGGCTCCGGCACATCGTACAGGCGACTGACGAGTGTGGTCTGGAAGGCCCGGGGCACAGAGCGACGAGTCATAATCGAGCTCACAAAAGTTCGCTTCATACATGACGCAAATTTCCTTTTGGGATAATAAAGGGTCAAACTAAACCACGAAGACAGAAACAAAAGTATCGACCTCACAGCAGGTTCGCTTCATACATGACAAAAAAGAAATCATTGAGGAATAATACCTTAAGGGTCAAAGGAAGTCATAACGACAGAAACAAAACTATCGATCAGGGGCTCATTGAATGGTGAGACAAATAGAATAGTGGATTGGGGAAATATCCAACATAGTCCACGATATTTACGGAGCGCGACAACCGTCATGGCTTATCTACGGTAATCGAGGTTGTTCTCGCTGCTCTTGAAGCTTAAACACAGGGACGTCAAGACGGTGCCAAACATTGCAAGGGTGACGTTTATGACTAGTATCAGACGAGGGGAAGTGTTTTGATAACGGCATGTACTTTGAGTGGTGCATCCTAGACCCTTCCTACATTCAAGGCACGAACTGTGTGATTTACGATCTTCCCATCTTGGCTGCATGGTGTTGATAAGAACGTCTGAGCATGAGTAGATATACAACACAAAGCCTCCCCTGTTCCCTCATACTCACCGGGTCCCACGAGAGCGTCGTTATCTTCTGTTTCAGCATGCGTTCGTCCACCTCTCCAAACTTATCGTAGATGGCCTCCACGGGATCATCCGGGATGTACACCTTCTTAGATCCAGCGCTGCTGCGGGCCGGTGACCCGACGGATGACCTCTGACCTCCCGCTGACACCGGGCTGACCCGCTGACTGCTGACCGGCGCCGGGTCAGCGACCTTCAGCTGCTGCTGAGGACGCTCAGCCGTCTTCACCTCAGCCGCCATTTTGTTTACCGGCGGTGACCTCTCTTTGAAGCGCCGAGGGGCCTCTGGGGGCGGCGCCGCCGACTCGAACTGCGACTTGAGCGCCTTCACTGACGGTAGCAGCTTCTTGATCTTGGTCGGACTGTCGATGGTCTTGGAGGAGTCGTCGGCTCGGCGCGGGGCCTCAGTGGCGTCTGACCACGTTTTGCCGTCCACCTGCGGCGATGAGAGATGGGTGGGTCAGACAGGTCACGGCAGGTGATCGCAGACACTGATACTCCCCCTCCGCCGAGGAGCGCTGCCACAGACTGCCACCTCGCCGGGCGGCGATCAGAGACTGAGCAGGCTTTCTCAGCGGAGGCGGACAGATAATATCAGAGGCGTGACCAGGCTCCGTGTCAGCTCAGCGGCATGACGGAATTGGGCGGCACGGTTCGATTTAAATGCAGACCTCCGCAGCTGCAGGAGGCTTATTACATTGATTGGAGAAATCGGTGCAGTTGCGAGCTAGTGACCTGTGGACGGGAAAGTTGCGGAAAGTCGGGGAAATCGAGCTCGTCTGGCCATAGCCCTTTTGAATAGCTTGCAAAGCAAGTACCTATCCACTCAGCGCGATATGTAAAAATAAGTAATAACAAGTTGCATGCTCTCCAAACGGCGATAAGATGGATCTATTGGTAACGAGCAGCGCATGTCCCACTCAAGAGAAATAAGTGCATGTGTCACAAAAAGTTTGCACAACACTTCAGTCACACCAACCAATGTCCCGGCCCATACAGATAACGGCAACGTTTCGCACTGAGCACCGGGAATCACTTATTGCAACGCGACCAGCCTACCACTGCCGGACAACCCCACACCAGGGAAGCCGCGCTGCCACTGTCCAGTTTCACTGATGCGGAACGGGGCATGATCCAGCACAGCTCTCCCTCACTCCTCTCCTCTCTATAGGCACACTCCCACTCTGCCTACCACTCCCGCTCTACTCAGAGGCCCATCCCCCTGATCACTCCCTCGATCGTTTCCAGTATCTCACCACTGCACACTCGGTTCGCATCGGCCCTTCCATGACCGTCGACCGGCACGGCGTCGCCCTGACTGGGGACTGTCAGTGGTATACGATCGACGGTGGCGGCGGCGGCGGGGGCGGGGGCGGGGGCGGCTGCAGTCACACCGTTACCGCACGATGCACAGAGCTCAAAGTGCCACCGCCGCCGCCGCCACCGCCGCCGCGCCGAGCGAGGGAGCCACAGCGCCAGTGTTCCACTACACGGTCTGGTGCGTGCCGTATTGTCTGCCACGACAATCCCGGCGCACTATGCGGCGCTGTGCTGCCGCCGGATAGCGGTACGGCTATGGCGCAGTGGGGACGATTGAGCGAGGGGGTGGGTGGGAGGGGAGGGACTGGTCAGAGAGGGATGGGAGTGGGTGGGTGATCGGAACGTATGGTTCGAATGTTAGAGCCAATGCAAGGTGGAGTGTGAAAGATTCAGGAGCAGAAATTGGCGAAGCAAACCCTCAACTTCCCCCCTTTCCAGATGCGTTTTCGGCCACGTTCCTCAAAAGTGCTTCTTCGGAACTGCCTCGCTTCCCGGTATGAAAGTAACGATCAAACTTCCTTCCAGCTCCTTTTGTTGCAAGTTTAATGAATTTCTGAGACTGACACGTAACACGCAATCGCGAAGAAACCCGATGGGCTCTGCAGTCTCATGCAGTCCAAAGACAGAATTCGTTATGAAGCGGAGTTATGTGCTCGAGTATTCATACCCAAAACATAACCTGAGTAGCTTGTCTAACGTAGGCCCTCGTATATACCCATTTCAAGGCCCGCTAGCTTCTAACACACGCTGGCGCTCTCTGTTATTGACCTCCCTGAGCTAGTGCGTAACGAGATACAACAAACTCACGTCAACATGTAACCAAGACCCGAGGTAGTATGATCAGATCATAGCAACACCACAGCTTTGCCTGGGCTGGAAGTGCAGACCAAAGTCTAGTGTGCAGGCTAAACCACAGTCAAAGTCATCTGATCCTGTCAGTGGACGTAAATTTGGTGAAATCATATACTACACGAGTGGGATTGGGGTGGGGCGGTATCGGGTGTGTATGTAATATGGGAGCACTGGCGGCTCGTGCTACACGAACGAGGCCTCTCCTCGCCCCTGACCCCTCCCCTGCAGTGGGGGACGGCAGGTGAGGGGATCGATTACCGGGGAGGGAGAGGGGAGAGGTAGCCTGATACGGACAGGACCGGTGTGCAGAGAGAGAGGATGGGGGGGCGGTAGAGGAGAGGAGTAACCACTGGTAACGGTACTGGGTCTGAGCTGGGAATGAGCAGGGCGAAATGAGACGAGAGGAGGCATAATAGGCGAGTTGTAGTGGTTGGAGCTAATTATGAACCACTTTTCGTCGTAAATTATCACCGCAATTACGACAAGACTGAGCTGTTGGTTGGAAGTGCCGCTGTCATCTTGAGACGACCACTGGCCTGACCAGTGCCTATTTGCATGCTGATGATGCAGCAGCAAAAACAACGAGCAATGCTCGGTCTAGAAGCAAGACCACCAAGGATCATACGGGAAACTCCAGTGCTAACCACTGGTTATCACTCCACAGCATCGCTTCCCCTGGAGTGTCCCTGTTCCGCGCATGGGTGGCGTTTGAACGTGTTTCATTCACCAATAACAGGCCATCGGCCCCTCACTCTAGGCTTTCGATCTATCGTCACGGGTCACCGGTCACTGAGGTTACCCCTCCCCCTCCAGCCCTCCCCTCCCACATACGTTGCTATATTGGACGTGCCATGACGATAGAAACACGGGCTATCTGCCATCACAGGGCCGCTAGCACACATGGGTCACCGGCACGGACCAACAACACAGACCGCGTCTTATCTAAGGCTTATCACCTGACACCGGCAGAACGGGGCCGTGACATGGGGTGAACAATGAACATTGGCCTCAATATTGTAAAGGAAAATTTGCGGCATTTGGACGACAAAGGATTCAATGCAAGTATTTTTGCCTCGCACAGGGACAAACAATGGCCAATGAAACCTCAGCGATGACCAATTATAGCAATTTTACACGTTTGTTTGTTTTGTTGGGTTAGGCCCTTTCGGTCGACAAGACCATTTCAGAGCCGGGAGGATGATAGGAATTAGGGGGAGACATTGGTCTGGGCAGGCACCCTAGTGAGTCGCCGGGGCTGAGCCCGTCCGAAGACGGGCCACCCAGCCCCAAGGCACTCACTGCACCCGGCTACGGGGTGCGCTCCCTCGGGAGCAGCGGTGCCGCTCCAAGGGAGCAGCCCGCATGAGATAAAGTTGCCTGTCCAGCCCGGAGGGGTGTTGCGGCGTGGAGGAGAAGGATTTCAGTATCCTGAGGATAGAAGCACGGATAGGTGGTGAATTTTACACGTTGTTCGGCTGCCTAACGTCCGCACCATAGGCTGCTGTCTGTAGGTAGTAGGTACATTATATTTTTTTTTTTGCAAGCAAGGTTGAATTGTCTGCTCACCTGTTTCTGTTTCTTGGCATGCTTGCGCTGCCGCATGGTCTCCGGGTACACCTCGACACAGCGGTCCTTCTGAATCCTCTCCTCCCGGTCTTCAGAAGGCTCGCGCAGGGTCGGGGAGCCACCTGCCGGCAGAAACGGGAGTTAATGTGTGTAATTGTCACAGTGGCCGCTAGGGGAGCTACTGTCGCACGTAACAGGTGGACGGTCCAGGCGAGGTCGTCTGGTGATGATGCCTGATGGAAGCGTGCTCCTTTATCCCAGACAAGGAAAACATTCATAATGCCTCGGGCTAACGATTCCAATGTATGAGCAAAGTCCTCATCTGACCCTGATCATTCATATTTCATGAGACAAAAGTGGCAGACTTGCTGAACGGGGGTTTCGGAGACGGCAGGAGGCTGATTGCTGTGGACAGGGCTGCGGAGTCGATGGATTTTCAGCGACTCCGACTCCGACTCCGACTCCGGCTTTCAAAAACTAGCTCCGACTCCGACTCCGACTCCGGGCAGAATTGTCGACTTCGACCGACTCCAACTCCCGACTCCGACTCCGCAGACCTAGCAGGGCTGCGGAGTCGACAGATTTTCGGTGACTCCGACTCCGACTCCGGCTCGGGTTTCTAAAATCGACTCCGACTCCGACTCCGGTCACAACTGTCGACTTCGACCGACTCCGACTCCGACTCCGACTCCGCAGCCCTGGCTGTGGAAATAGCCAATAGCTCGACAGTCTTTGATTGTCATATTGACAAAACATTTCGTGCTCAGGTACTCCGGAAAACAACGGTTGGTTGAGTGTGGCGTCTCATTCGCAGGTCGAACCAATAAATCTGCGACCTCTGTCGTCTTCGTCGCAGACTGTTCGACCTCCAGAGGCCATAAAAGCAGACAGGCTCGTCCCGGTCATCGAACTTGGAGAGTTCCTACACTTGTACGTCATCCAACAACCCTGATCACGTGCTTAGAATAAACCAGCCTTCCCGTCCCCACAGCCGAGGGAGTGCAAAGGGATATGATCAGCGAGCATACTCGCAACCCATGTGAACATTGCTCACATTATTTGGATCGATAAAACATATTTTTCTGTCAAATAATTTCAGTTATCAAAGCTACATAAAAATGCTTGGACGTGAAAATAAATGAGCACGCAAAAAAAAAAAATACAGATGGAAGGACGACTAAGCAAATATCAGGCTTCTCCACGTTCGTGTTTGCCCTTCACGCAGGCCGAGAGATAAAAAATCATGAGCCCTCTTCCGTGAAGGATCACCGTGACTGTCTCAAAACACCGAAACAATACCGTCTAGAGAAAAGAGTGAAACTGCTAGATCTCATTTTCAAAGCGCAGGGTAACGCACCTGAAACAATACCTAGCACGGAACTTGAACCGTTTGTCCAGCCATCAGCGGACGCACTACGCCTTTTCTAACTTTACCAGCGATTCAAAACATAAATGGCTCCTTTCTTGTCGTGCATTGTGAGCATTAGGTGGATTGCATGACATAACATGTAATAACTCGACAATCAGATATTGCGTGGAAAGGAGAGCGACTCTGCACTTCTATGTAGGTAGCAACAATAGATGGATGGAAACAGCAAGCCAACAATCATCAATTCTTCACATACGGTTACTTCATGCATAAATCATTATCATGGACATCTGAATGTTTACATGAATGAGTTGGTCGGGAGGGTCACATTCAGCTCAGCTTGTGACCAGTGACCCATGACGACAAGGTACAGCCGTGGGTCGGATGATATAGCTGTGACCACTGACCGGTGACCGACTGGTAACATAAAGGTAACAGACAGGTAACAGACAGGTAACAGAGAGGTAACAGGTAGGTAAGAGACAAGTAACCGTTTATAACCATACGTGCTTGCGCCAACGAGACCTAGCCCTGTAACGGTATAACTATCGACGAATGGAACAGTGCAGAAAGGAGCAACACGAAGACCGAGGGACTCTGCGAACTGCCGACATAGCTTCCGAAGTTCGAAAATGGATGCCATGCTTTCTACTCGTTTCAGTAGAAACGTATGGAGCATATTCAGTGACAATTAACCCAGCCTTCTGATGTGAAATCACTTCCACCTCTTCCTGTCTCGCACAGCTACGACCCGAACCGACCCGACCCGACCCGTGCCGGTCCGTGCCGTGCCGTTCCTTTCGCCGGTGACCTCCTCGCGGTCACATGGCTTTGGATCACGCCACCTCTTCCAGCCAGCTGCCATACCGCCAGCCTTCGAGCTGTCGCAGCAGACCCAGACGGAGACTGCCGAGCTTCCGGCAGCGTTTAGTCCGGGTAATGGCCGGTGGGATGCACGCTACCACCTCACGCGACCGCAGCCAGCCGCCAGAACTGGATGGTCACAGAAGAAGGCACGTCACCGCCGCTGTCTACCAGCCGACCGCCAGACCGGCAGACTGACCGTTTGTTGTGCGGTCGGTCATTTGGACGCCTCATTCACAGCTGAGATACTGAGAGAAGCGGACAACGACCGTTTAATTGTCTGGTTTAAGTCGTTACGTTTCATCTGAACACCGTTATCCATCTCTGCTCACGGCTCCGGAGGCAGCATCTCTCGGAAAAGCCGGGATGTATTCACAGCCCGCGTTGCAGTCCACCGGTGACCTCGGGTGACTCTATTTATACAGCGGTGTCTCTGCTCGGTGGGGCATGCAGCCGGCACCTGGAGACGCATCTGCACGCGCGCCCGAGTGACGTCACTCTAGGTGACCTCTGCAGGTACAGAGTTGCACCGCAACACCCGAGGCAGAGAGGGGAGGTCGTCTAATCGGCGACCTGCACCTCCCGCTCTACCCCGGTGACCCGTGGTCGCCAGGCGCAGACCCGTTCGACAACATTCCAGTGCCGAGGTGACTGGGGCAACGGCAGAGGTGATTGTGCTAAATACAGCAGCAGACGTTGAATCCAGGTGAGAATTTCTGTCAGATTTAGTGCAGGAAGTTGTACAACTTTGACCTACTGTGGGATCGCAGTGATCAGATTAGCCCTCGCGTCACCAAACAGGCTAACTCTGGAAAATACGAGCAGGTTACCACCTCCATTGTGTGTCACGATACAGCAGGTGACAGCTGCAGCTCAAGTTCTCCTTCCACCGATCCGACACTGCTCGCGTGCTCTGCCCACCCGTGAGGACAGCGCACCAGGAAGAGCCCGCCGCCGGCGGTGCGGCCGGGACCGACGGCCGGACAGAGAGCGATGGGAGCCGACGGTCCGGCGACAGCGACAGATGGTCCGACGACGCATCCTCCGACATCGGCGACGCGGTGGACCGGAGCGACGCAGCGCGCAGCGCGTCACGCCAGCTTCCGTCCGCGGCGGCTCTCCAATCCAGGGATGGCGCGGAATCTCGTAGGTAGCTCCAAAAGTCGCTAAATGAAGCTCAAATGCAGCTTCTGAGAGGTCTGGCGGCTCCAGAATTAGATAAATTGAATGTGGATAACTTTGGAAACTCATGAGCCTAGATCAATGAGGGTTCAATTGGACTTGAGGTTCCCACTTGAATGGGTCGCAGCTGCGAACGAAAATTTGCTAGTCTTTTTTTTTTGCTACGGTTTCTTCACGAGACAGCATCATGGCAATAAACTGTTATCGGGTTACGATCCTTGAGCTTTGACCTTAATTAAGCGTGTTCAGCTACCGGTCATTTATCAGCCCTCCTTCTGCGGATGCCAAGTTCCGGCCGTTTGCTGTTTTAGATTTGATCCAACTGATGCCTCGTCACGCTAGGTAATGTCACTATCCCAGTTCCAGCTACTTGTCGGCTAAACATAGGGGTGTATCATGATGTGGTAGGTTAAACTTATACTTGAGATCAGTTCAGCTTACTCTGATTTCGTCAACTGAAGCCAAGTACCAACTTGGAAGCACACCTACTTTTCGTCGCTCGATAGATGACTTGCTCCGCATTATAAGTCGTATCACACATTCCCCAACAATGCCTTGCCCCCACCGCACCCATGATTTCCACGAAACCCCAGACACAGCTGCGTGACGAGCTGACACTCTGACACGGTCCAGTGAACACTGACGACCACGACCGTGTCTCCGAGTGTCACCGTGTCGGCATGACACCCGCGTGTCAACAGCGTGTCGCAGCAGCCTGGAGAGGTCCAAGATAGTCTGGTGCATAAGCAGTGGCATGTCATCGAAGCTGCAAATTTAATGCCTGATTACCAATAGTCTCTCCAAGTGTTTAGGTTCATCGACAGGTCAGCAGCTGTGGTAGACAATGGCAGACAACTGTGCAGCGGTCATCACATTCCATCCGATCCAGCGACTTCGGCCGGCTAGTCTGTGAAATGCATTGCAACCAGCCCATCCAGCCAGTCGATCTAGGTCCAGCATTCCAGTGAGATTCACACAAATCCAGTCGAATTCAGCCATACCCACTCCGGTCCGGTCAGTCCAACCAAACTCCGGTCCATCCAGTCCAGTCCATTATCGCGCCTATGACGTTTCAGACCGGCCCTATGTCTGTATAACCAGGTCAGCAGCGCTGCGGCGCCAGTGGCCGGTCCGCGACGCGCCGTGGCCCGTTACCGAGAGGCTCCGGACGAGCCGCAGCGCTCCGGAGCGCCCGCAGGTCCGTCAACACGTCCGTCACAGAGAGTGCACATCGAGGCCGGCTGGTCCGCCGGCCGGCGCCGCCAGCAGGTCCGGTCCGGCCCGATGAGACGATTGGATGGGTGGGCAGCGCTGCGGAGACTGGGTATTATGTATGACAGCGGGAGGGATGTGTGGGAAGCGGAGGCGAATGGGTGAGGAGAGGGAAGGAGTCAGAAGCGTGCAGAAGCGGAGACAAACAGCCGGCACGCTCGAGCCGCTCGTCACGGTCACTTGGGTCGCCTCTCCGGCTCGGTTCCCGTTACCGGCCCTTTCCGAACGGTGACAGGTGTGAAAAGCGGCGCGTCGGCTCACAGACCGGCGAGCGGCGCCGACCGGTCACGCCGCTTCCGGACCCGGAGAGACGGAACGAAGCTCTGTCCGACCGCGGAGTCTTCCACCGTCTTCTCAGCCGGCTCGGTTCGAGGTTGGTCAGCAGAGCTCAGCTGATGGCGGCCATTGATGAAGCCATCTGCTCCACATTCCGGTCACAGCAGCCGCTCTTCACTCTGATTGCCTTGATTCGTGTGTCTGAGCCGGATCGGCCGGCGGCGACGAGCCGAGGACGGCGCGGGAGCGGGTACACTCAGCAGTAAACCAGCTGGAGTATTGGACAGTGGACAGCAGATTGTGGACGTTATTGTGGGTGGTCTCAATCTGGTAGCGTTGAAACGCAGTAGATAAAAATAACGGCGCCGGGCGCGTATGATTAATCCCCACCCGTCTCACTAGTTGCGCCCAAGCACTGACGCACTTATGCATCAACCTAATTCGCCTCAAATAATCACCCAGTTCACAGAAAATAACCGCTTCAGTCCGGCACCTCACCACTGCCTTTGGCGGCAGCGCGGTCTGTCAGGCGGTCAGATACCGTGAAAACAGCACGACGGCTGCGACCGTGACGGGTACGCGGCCTCGGATCGACGCGCCGCGCCTCGGAGTTACCTGGCTGAGAGCACCGCTGCTTCAGATGGCCCCGGCGCCGCCAGTCGCGTCGCACCGTGCCGCTAACTGCACACTGTGCGAGGATGAGCAAGTCACAGCAGTTCCCGGAGGCACGTCCAACTACCGACCAAGCTTTGTTACTGAAGACAATGCCTGCCTGAAGCCGGATAGCGGCGTTTTATTGTGCCTGTTTGCTTAATCATTGTGGCTCTTATCCTTTCTTCCGCCGGGAGTGTATGGTAAGTCATCAAACACATGGCTCTTCATTATTACTGATTCACGTGCTTTTACCAAATGTCACTTGAACTTACCCAGACCTGTGAATAGGGCTTTCCGAGGATCGTCACTTCCGAGTCTCCATGAACTTTCCGTGTCATTTCCGAGCTTTCCAGTCGGCACTGTCACCCTTGGGCTTGGCTTTTTGACTTACGACAAAGGAGCTATGGATTATCATGGACTGGACTTTCTTAGACCATGGACTCTTGCTAGGGACTGGAGACTCGCACAGAGTCTGAACTCGGATCACAGACTCATGCTGGACTCACCTGGGCTGTGGACTCCGCTGCTGGACTCCACGGACGCGTTGGAGCCAGAGTCGCCCTCAGCCGAGCCGATGCCCTCGGAGCCCTCCAGAGAGTGCAGAGAGCGGGTCTGGGGTGACTCCTGCTCCTCCTCCTCTTCCTCCGATGACGTCACATACTCGTCCTCCGGCTCCTCCAGAATCACCTCCAGACCTGCGCCAAGGTCACGTGACGGTTAGAACAAAGCTTGCGATGCGGGCTGGCAGCAGACGGAAGGTTTTGCTATTTGTTATCCGGGACTATAGGTAAAGTGAGAAAGAAATAAGCACTTTTCTTGTCCTCTGTGTGACATGAAACCTTGCAATGAGTCTTAATAAGTCTGAAACCATAAGTCACATTCTGACAATAAGCAGACGAAGAGTGTGAATTGTCACTCATCACCATACGTCAACCAGAGGTGAAACGTCATATTCTCATTACCTACTTATTCACCGCTGCCAGAAAATACGGAATAGCTGTCAATTTCCAGCATCAGCGAAGAGAACAGAGTCCGTTATCTCTCACTCTGACGCTGTCACCATCTGTCACCCTCTCACTCAGGTTACTAAGAGAATTGTCAGGTGGTAATCAAATGCTAGAAAAAGCAAAAGTACGTGGAATGTTGTCCTGACACATACCGTTCGGCCACGTGGGTCAGTCACGCAGTACCTATGGTGTGAGGTTTGGACATGCCAGACGGGGTATTTGAGTCACGACTAGCGGTAGAAGGTGAGAGTGAGTCAGGTGGGAGGTGAGAGAGGTCGGTCGGTCGTCTGTGGCCAGAAGTCTGGCGCTTTCTCACCTACCACAGCGTTCGTGAATGTGCCGAACGGGTAAACGTTTTAGAAAGAGTCGCGCTTTACACAAGCGCTTCTGCTCTAGTTTCTACCACTGGGGTCAAATGCTCTCGAGTCTCGATGTCTCAATTGCTCTCAGCCTCGTATATCGGTGGCTAAAAGTCGTTATAGTTCTCCTCATTGGCTCGCTTAAAAAGGCAGATAATGGTTTTTGTATGTGGCCAACATCGTGGGTGTTCCGACAGTTCGAAAGCCGGTGTTTTGTTTGCGGTTAACGTATGCGTGTCGACGGCGGTGGACACCGAATCCAGTGTGCGCCAGTCCCACCTCTGGGTCACCGAGAAACAGGCTCATTGGGTTCAAACCACACCCGCTGTGGCGGCAGCACAACCCGTCGTTCCCATGCATGCTTACACACCGATTATACTCTGTGCCGTGCAGGTCACTGGCGGATGTGGGCGTTCGTTTAGAGAAACGCACTCTTTATGTTGTCTTGTTTCTGCCTGTTTTGCGGCAAAATGCTCCACCCAGCGGCTAGCCATGCAGCTTGATGGCGATAACTATAGAAGTCCTCAGGCCGATAAACGGTACGGAGTCCCAGTCTCCGCGGCCCAGACACACTCAGTGGCTAGGAGACACATTGTTCCCCGGAGGCAAAGCCAAGCCACGCTCGGGCGGCGGTCGGAACGGTACCGTAGCCGCTCCTCTTTCACGGTGGGTGGATCGCTCTGCCACCAGCTATGGACCGCGTCCCGGCGTGGAACTATCGTGGGATATCGGTGGGACAGCGCCTAGTTAGGCGGGTCCGACCCGGCCCGATGACGGCGTGTGCCGCGCGTTACTGCCATACTTACACACGCCGTCGGCCTAATAAGACGTCTACAGGCCTACTCATGCATGCGTACTTACATAGCTATGTAGATTATACTCGCATGCCCATGAAGAATGTTTTCATATCGTCACACCTTTTCCAGTAAAATAATGCGAACTGTGTGTCATATGTGTCACATTATGCGTCATTTAACAGAAATAAACCTAAGAAGCGATGTCAGAAGCCTGTCGACTCACCTGGATCTTCGTTATAGTAGCTCCTGGCGTCCGATTCGCCGAGTCCTTCGTCCAGCTGATCATCGCCAATGTAGTCATTGGGAATTCCATCGACATCATCCCCGTCGCTTCCGTAATCTGAAATCGGCGTAAAATAACACGAGTGAATGGAGAAGTTGAAGGCGAGGTCGATCACTGGCAACTGAGCTTGAAAAGATTACATAGTTGGATGACAGCCCGTTAGTTTGACAGGCTGGCTGAGAGTTTTTCGATTGTTTTCTCATGGACGTTTTAACACGTGTGAAGCGCATTGCTGGAGAGGGAAAAGGGCGGTGTCCGTTACGTACCAGCAATCCACTTTTATGTTTCCCTAGAGTCTTGTGTAATAGGAATTGGACTGGAGTGCTTAATATTGGTTAATTAGGTAGCCCGGTTACACTTGCTGATGTGGTACAGTCGTGTACAGGTTGATGGTCCTCCACTCTTTATCTACCGGGTTCCTATGGCTCAGCATTGGCAGCAGCCGCCTGGTACCGGTAGGCTGTGCCGCATGACCCGAGAGTGAAGCGGCACAGCCTACCCACACTGTATGACACCGGCTCGGGTCGCCTGTTAGAGCGATTTGACCGGACGCTGCGTCACACCGGCTGGGAGGCGGGGGAAGGGTCAGGCCTGTCGATTTGGCTCGGCTCGGTGGATAGGCGGGCTGGTGTGTGGTGTGGGGAGGGGGTGATGTGGAGAGGGAGTGAGCGGACCTGGGGCTGGGCGTGTCCTGGGGATGGTCGGGTGTGTGTGGTAACTTGCTGCATTGCACATTTTGCGTCGCTTAACAATTGCACTCCTGTTTTTGCTAAGCACAATGCACGGAATACCCAGCGAATATGATTTACTTTACTTGTGCATTGTGCAATACGTGATTTGGCACGGTATCGAGGCAACGGTCTCGTGCCTATGCATGATATTTAGGCAATACGTTTATGGATTGATGCTGGATGTCAATTCGTATGCTAAATTCGGCACGTATTAAATGAATGAATGAATCAATGAATCAATGAATCAATCAATCAATCAAACAATCAATCGGCATGTATCGGCCGTAGAAACTGCTCGCAACCACTAATAGCAATCAAACCATCCTAACTCGGAAAAGCAGCCGGAGCCCTGACGAGGCTCGAACCGGGACTCCACGCTGTTAGTGTTTCCAATGATCCACTGTCATTCCACCAAGCTAGAGTGACCGGCACCCGAGCCCGCAAAAACATTAGTTGACTTTGCCGCCGACCTCCCGGCCCCGCCGCTCGCCCGGCCAGACTTTGCCCCGGTCGTAGCCACCATCCGGTGTAGCTCAGCGTAGCAGTGCTTGACTGTCAAACTGACCGGTAGTGAGGGCCAGGTTCGAAGCGCTTGGCGTGCTGGATATTTATTTCTCGGTGGGAGGCTTTGCGTTTAGTCCACTTTTCAGAAAGATTATTTGGTGACTGACCTGTTTTCTTTCTTTGCTGCAATTCATGAGGAGACCGTATGCACCCTTACCTGTCCTTCCGCACCCCACTTGGGAGATGGGTGGTTAACCCCCCCCCCATGGGTTTTGTGAATATCTCTAAAACGAATTTTTGGAGGGGGATACGATCGGTTCTATGCGACAAGTGACCACACACGCCCAGCCCCAGGTCCGCTCACTCTCTCCCCACATCACCCCCTCCCCACACCACACACCAGCCCGCCTATCCACCGAGCCGAGCCAAATCGACAGGCCTGACCCTTCCCCCCACCCCTCCCGTCCGGTGTGACGCAGCATCCGGTCAAATCGCTCTAACAGGCGACCCGAGCCGATGTCATACAGTGTGGGTAGGCTGTGCCGCTTCACTCTCGGGTCATGCGGTACAGCCTACCGGTACCAGGCGGCTGCTGCCAATGCTGAGCCATAGGAACCCGGTAGATAAAGAGTGGAGGACCATCAACCTGTACACGACTGTACGTACCGTGCTGTTCGCATTTCAAATGTATTCGTTTGGAGGAAAATTTCGCTTGCCTTGCCAGTACCCAAATGATTTTAGTTAAGCACTTTTCTATTCATCCTATGGTCGAAATTCAGATGTCGCTCACACTTGTTTATGTTTTATACGTCCAGGTTTTCTCTAAATCAACACCGCTTACTTCCTCTGGACGACGAAAATGTCTGCCGTAAACCTATTGCGCAAGACCGGCGACAGAAGCTGTGGAATTTCACGGTAATTAAAACCTGATATCTCTCGAGCGAAAGCCAGCCAAGGACTGGCACTCGTGAGAAACCTGACCATCTGCGACACCGTGTGCGACGCTGGAGCTCCGCCGCACAACGGTCCGCGCAGTATCGGTCGCACTCCTGGTCATTTTAGTCGGAAGCAGTTCCCACATCTTGACCAGAGCCCTTCGGCGCCAGAATATTACATCGTTACTTAGCAAGCAGCTGAGTGCAGAAACGGGCTGGAAAATCATTTGGTGGTCATAATTTCCCGCACTTTCGCTCTTTTCTTGATGAAATTATGCACAAGTTACAAGAGCAGACGCCAGTTAGACACACACACACACATACCGCAGCAGTCGCAATTGGGAATGAACGATCCACCTGCAACGAGCGGACAGCTGTTCGCGTGGCTCAACACGCACCGCGTCGTTCCAGAGCGTCTCACATCGTCCCATCACATCCCACGACGTCCCACCACGTCCCACGTTCCAGCCCACAGGTCCCGCACCGTCCCGAAGCGTCTGAAGTCCCAGCCCGCGAGTCCCGCGCGTGTCAGTAGCAACAGATGTCAGACGGGCGCTCGCTCCTGCCGATAACGGAAACCCGCGACCAGCCGCTGATCGCGAGGCTGGAGCCGGCGGTGTGGCGGTCGGGGCGGAGTCGTCTTGTGACGTATAACGGGCGCAGACTGCGCGCCAGACTCGCGGACACACACGCGGCGAACTAACGGGCTGCGTGATGATCATGGAATGTCTTCAGGAGCTGCCGCGGGGAGCGTCGCACGCGTGGTCATCAGTGCTGATTGGGACAGGGTGCCGGAGGCGGTGGACTGCGGACGTCTGTTGGGCGGAAAAGGCGACAACGGCTGACTGAGACAGTTGTGTCCGCTATCGCTATCCCGGATTCTGTTGTTTCATTCGATGTTAGTTTGTTCGTATATCATTTGTGGTGAAGCGCACGGGACAGGAAAACGCGATCGGGATTTCACTCAGAGAGAATCCGCGAAATCTAGACCACGCTCATATTGCTCGACTTCAACATAAGCACTAAGCAGTTACCACTAAACATGACGCGTCTCGCGTTTAGGTCAGCATCACGCAATAATGTCACGGAAGTGCAACATCCATGAAGATCACAAGCACGTTCCAAGGACGTGTACTATAAATAGATCACCTACATCTTACGTTCCAGCGCTATGAATATGCCCGGATTTGAATGTACATAGATGTACTGTCAAATCTTTCTGGTCTGTCGAGCGAACCATTTTCAGATATTACGAAAAGCGTTATGACTGTGTCCACGGCAAACTCACATAGGTACCATCTTCGGGCTCGGCTCCATCGCTAAAAACGATCGCATCAAAATGAGCTGCGCCACCACATGTAGCCCGGAGGGAATCGGGCCATGACTTTCACAATTGTCTTTGATATAGGCTGCTTTGTAAGGGCTTTCTGTTTACTATATCTCGACATGGGATCATATTGTCGCGTCGGTTTCGTTTGTCTTTACAATTGTGCTTGATTTTCATCGCTGCAAATATAACAATCGTACAAAGTGAAAGCATTTCCTTTTTGTGTTCCTGGATACGTGAGAGGGCGTCAGCATAAAGAGCAAGTCCGTTTTCCAACAGCCCAACATAAGACAGCATAAGAGCACTGAGTAGTGAACAATTAACAATTATGCAGGTGCGTCTCTCAATGTCTGAATCGAGTAGGGGATCAACCACCTAAATTAAGGTGTTCAGTTAATTGAGATGTGCATCGTGCATTTGTTCCGCTGATCAGACTGTCATGCAAATGAAGGAGCTAACTGATATGTCAATATGTCAAGTGACTCAGCGCATTTCTTCGTGGTCAATAACTCTGACGTTTGCAGAAGCGCCTGGGTTACCTCATGGAAGTCAACAGTTAACGGAATACCAACACAAACATTAACGGAAAACACAGCACGATTTTCTACCCTTCCGTGACACGAATTGTACATGGAAAAGGCGACATGGTGCTGATATGGAACCGTTCCACTCGGTATGTTGATATTTCCTGGTATCTTCTCCGTCGTAGGGGAAGGGGGGGGCTGTAGGGATGCTAGATGTTTGAGCAACAATCTAACCGATAGCTTTTCATCCAGTTTTTATCCCATATCCGTAAGAAGTTGTCACGTTTAATTGACTCGTTACCTAATCACAATTTACATAGTAAGTGAGTTTATATTTCGGGACGTGATGCTAGTTTTACGTCTACATATACAGATAACACATCTCGTCCATAGTTCTATCTATTTAACACGCGGTGGCTTTCGAACTAAATCGGGCATCGCCGATGTCTGATTGATAGCGTCGTCTGTAGCTGACTAGCTATTACGCTCTGCGCTACGGCTCAGCTCACAGGACAGCGAGCCGGAACGGGCGGCGATCGACTAACGGGCTCTTTAGAGCAGCCTGACGGCCAGGAATGTGGGACAAACAGTGCCACCGCGCCCCGACAGGTGGGCAGGGAGTTGACGAAAACTAGTGCTCTGAATAGGTACTGGCTTGGCTAGTTTCCCTAATTGGATAGTTTGAATTTATGCTCAAAGGACGGGACACGTTTGAAATGAAAAGCACTGTCAGCGCAAAAGTTATAAGACCTCTTGAACGCTCATCCTTAATAGGTAGTTGAACGATTTATCTCACTAGCTGATAGACAAGGTGCCTATATCTTTCAAAGTGCCTGTTCCTTCAACATTTATATACAGGTTCTGTCCCCACACCACCCACTCTCCCACCGTTGCAGCACCCACCTGGTGACGGTATGTCGGGCCGCCTGCCTCCGTCGCCGTCCAGAGAGTCGCGGTCACAGTCCTGCGTCTGCTCCACCGCCGGCACCGCCATGCCGCCCTTCAGGACGATCTGTGTAGACCGGGTGGGCAGCGGCTCCGAGCGACCCGGCCCGTACGTCGGCCGAGGGGAGTCATACTCGCCAGACTCAGCCGGCTGCACGTTCTTGATTCGCGTGCGCTGAGGCGCGTCGTAGATATGCGACGCCGTACGTGGAACGTCATACTGACCCGAAGAGAGCAGGCCGTTTCCGGATACGGATACGACGCCCTTCTCGACGTTCTCGTAGACAGCGTCCGGCTCGGAGAGGTTCTGCTGCGACTTGGAGAGGAGAGTCGTGTTCTGGTACTCGCCGCCGGTCTGGTCGCTGAACTGGACGTTCTCGTAAAGCTGCTGGGGTTCCTCGGGCGCCTTACGTCGCCTCCGTCTCTGCTTCACCGGCTGGTCGTAGATGACCTCCGACTTCAGCGGAGAGTTCTGGTAGACAGCCTGTCCGCCAGCCGACACGTTCTCATAACAGGCATCGTCGGGTGTCAGCGCTGGGTCGTCGGACTCGACATTACGAACGGGTCCGCTGAACTGCACTCCGCTCCAGGGCGCCGGTCGGCCCTTGCCAGAACGCGACGACGACTTGATACCCACGTTCTGATACTCGGCCTCCGGCTCTGAGTTGCGCACCATCTCGTCCTGTTGGCGTTTCACGCGGAGAGCTTTTACCGACTCGAGGATCTCCTCAACGGAAGGAGCTCGCCGAAGACTGGTCCTGCTGCCGCTCAGTGACCGCGGCTCGCCGCCCACATCCGCCAGACAGCTGAAGCTTAGGGTACGTGAGACGGGCGCTGGCCGAGCGGGAGAGTCCAGACCCTCCTGACAGCTCTGCGTGCGCGTGATACCACCGCCGCCAGGGAGGATGCCGATCGTCTGCTTGAAGTACGTCAAGTCGTCATGACTTAGATGGTTTTCAACTGAGCCGAAGCGGATGTATGGCTTCCGTCTCGGCGGCTGAACCTCTGAGTTGTTTGCGGGTTGGTCAGAGTCTGTGCTCAGCTGCCGTTCAGAGTCTCGTCTAGATGAACTGCGACTTGACGGCTTCTCCGCAACGGAAGGGGAATCGTTCGAGCCGGCACGTTCCCGCTTTGAGGGAGTGGCAGAAGAAAGTCTCTCACTGGAGTGCGAGCTCGCTGAGGTTTTCTCTCGTTTCGCCGGCGCACTGGACGATCTCTCGCGCGAGTCGTAGCTCCTCTCCCTTGACGTATCACTCACCGAGCTCTGGGCAGCTGTGGGCTGCTGTGTCCGTCCAGAGCGCGCCGGGCTACTGCTGGCTGCTCTCTCCGCGGCGCTCTTTCCACCGGCTCGTATCCGCTCCGCCGCCGTGCCCCCGATGCGCACCTTCTGCGCAGCGCGGTCGGTCCGCTCCGCCGCTGTCCGCGCGCCGTCGTCGACTGCCGGGCCGTCCGCGGCGCCGGCCGCCGACACGGGCGCTCCGCCAATGGGCGCGCTGGCCGCCTCTGACGTCACGTACCGGGGTCGTCCGTTGACGAACAGCACCGGCTCGAAGTCGTCATCTCCGACGGAGGCCGCGGAAGCAACAGAGCTGCCCGAGCTGCCGTCGGAGCCGACGGAGCTGCGGCGTGGCGTCGGACGGCTGCGGGCCGGAGGCGTGGAGCGCGTCAGGTTGTGGGCTGCCTTCTGGAAGAAGGTGAGGTTCTGCTTGAAGCTGGAGGAGATGGCGGCGGTGTCAACCGGCGGAGAGCCAGACTCGGGCTCGTCCGCGCGGTCCGTCACCCGCTGCCGCGCCCGCATCGCTTGCTGTGAACGAGAGAGAACGGAATCGGTCAGACGAATTGTTTAGCAATTTTGAGTGGCTGAAAAGTAATGGAGTTTACAGCTAAGTTTGGCTACAGAAAAGACAGCCTATGAATCAGACGGAGAATGGCAAAAAAAAAAACGATGAGTTACATTTTATGCAAGTTAATGTGATATAATTATTTTGTGTTCCTTCAACTGCTGGTATGAGGTTACATCACTACACAGCGTAGTTATAATGTACGAATGTATGTGCATTTAATTGCCCCTGACAAAAAAAAATGTGTCACGCTTCTTCTGGTGATCAGTGCGTCTTTCCAATAGTTTGGCACTACGCGATGCCTTATTTGCATGCGCCAGTGTCCAGTGAATATGCCACTGCCGGCATATTCTCGCATTCATTTATTTCGAATTCCACCTTCATCAGTGGCATTTTCAGTCTTCCGGTTTGGCCCCGACTCGCTGACTCGCTGACAACTGACTCGCTGACAACTGACTCGCCGACTCTCCGTCTATTAACTGTTCCGGTAGGCTCTGCAGACCATTAACCGTGGGCCACGAGAACCATAGAAAACGGCAGAGATGGAGACCGTCGTCTACAAAACGTACCCTTTCCCCTCTTCTATCAGTATCATCGCCATCGTCACCGCCGTATTTCCTCCCCAGTCGGATCTTTCGCCTGGCGATGCTTGACGGCCTGCCCTGCTCACCACCACATGTAGTGCGTGCCGTACCGGTGCGTCTGGCCACCATCTGGGCATTCTAAGGCTCCTCGCTCGGCCGCGCCGCACCATGGGCCATTTAGCTCAGACCTGGATTCATCTCTCGCTCTCTCAGTTCCCGTGTGCGCCGTTCCGGATCGGCCACTGAACCGAGGAGAGGCCAAAGAGAGGCATGACGGACGGGGAGGAAAACGGGGCGAGGGAAGCCTGAAAGTGGACGGAAAGACGGATGATAGAGAGACACGGGATCAGAATGTTATAGGTAAGAAGAACTGGACTAGCTGAGATCAAACAAGGCGAGCTAAGCGTCCCGGGGTCCCTAATGATATCGTTCCAACTCCCAATGCTATCCAGCAGACGGAACCAAAGCCACTTTGACGCACAAAAATACATAATCGCTCTGACGCACAAGAACCACAGACAGGGTGTTAAAAACGGTGAGGCTAGCGTCATAATGCATGGCACATTCAGATCTAAGGCATTCTTACGACAGATTACAACATGCATGTGGTCGTGATGTCAAATACTGTTAGCAATGCGAACTCGACAGACTGTGAACATGCAGCAAGACCTTTTTGCAACATTCTGCATTAAACTGAAAGCGAAATTTAGATTCCTCCGAGCATGCTGAGATATTTCAAAGATGACAGGTGCACATGACCTCCATGAACTATCAAGCTAATAGGGCAAAGTGAGAGTTGCATTACTGCCCGATTTCGTTTAGGTTACGACCATTGGTCATAGCACGGATGTGATATAAGTGGCTGTAGAAAGTGCAATTTGCTCAGATGAGCTGAGCGAACCGTGACGGGATCGCATGGCTGAGAAGGCACACCGTAACAGACATGGCGAAAAGTGACTGAACCTTTTCAGTGACACACAACCAAGACGTTTGTGTGTCTTTAGCTGATAAAGGCGTGCATTATTTTCATGCTGGAGAATGGAATGAAATAATAAACAACTTTGCAGGTAAATATATTTTCTGGGAATACCATTTCAAACATAGGCAACAACAAAAGTGCAGTATTCAACGTGCTTTTTTGGCCTAAAATATCATAGAGGATGCAAGGCACGCACAGGACATGACCCCTTGCATAAGTTGCATACAACCCTGCTGACTATAGACATACCCGTCTTTATTGATTTCCTATATCGGCTGTTAATCACACACCTCAAACCAACAATGATTCTGCCCACCCCTACCAGCTCCTACCAGCCCAGAAGCTTGTTCCGCCTTCCTTCCGTCTCTGTTTTGGTCGGACTGAGTCCACCGAACCCCGGTGCCAACGGCCGGACCGCAGACTGAGGGTGATGAACGATGCGACGGCGGCGGTGCGCGCACAAAGGAACGATGGTACCACGCTGTCAGCGACCATTCTCGTCCCTCGGCTGTCTCCGGCCATCACACCACATGGCTTCAAACGACGCGGCATTGCCGGTCAAGTGGCTTAGACGTTACTAAAACTGGCATGCTGTTTTATAATGTAAGAAGATAAAACGGTTTAATTATAACATTGCTTGAATTATCGCGAAGAATCATTGGTCGTCTTATTGGAACACACCGACCGTAGACCACTCAGGAGTCCCGTCAAGATACGTCCATCCGACAGTTTACGAACTGCAGATACCATCTAGAACTGTCTCGCTCCATGTCCACGACGACACGTGGACAGGGCGGTCATTGTCGACCGGCGCTGGCCACGACAGATGGTTGGCCTGGCTACCACCACTTTCAGTTCATGTAACAGGTGCGGCAGATTAGAGTGTCGGTCCGGCACAGAAGGACGGTGGACAATGGAAGTGTGCGGCGGACACCGTTGGCCGGCACTAGTCAGTGATGCTTGGAGCTGAGAGAGCTGGGCAGTGCTTCTCATTAATGTTTGCTATTAGTCGTGGATAATCTCGATCACCAATGGTTACTGCTGATAGGTGCTGGTAAGAACGATTAAGCATGGGGAGGCCATCGAAGATCGAGGAGTATTTTAGGCTGCGCGGCAGGAAGTGATTTCAAGTTTCACAGCTGATAGAAGGTACCAGTCTAGAAGTCTGCAATACATCTGCTACTACATTGCCTATCTATATTTTCTCAGCATCATGCGTCGTCAATTATTATTCGTGATAATCATACATCGTTGTTTCGTGACAAAAACATTTAACGGAGCACCCATAAACAACCGTAATCATTTTCTTTGCCTGGACGCTCCGCTACAAAGGGACTCCTCTGGCACGCAGTCAGGCACGAGCCGATGGCTCCGGGGCCGTTACCCATTCAAACACCTCGACATCTCCTGCCGAAAATCGAGCGTCAGCTGCGGCTGGCTCCCGGACTCCAAAAGAATCGTCACGGACCATCTGCTCGGAGATCCCGTAACTCACGTCATCGTGGGCCTGCCATGGCGGGACTCCACACTGAGGATGCTCAAAGTTTTGCCTTCAAAGCCACGCAGACCTACATAGTCTCGCGGTACCGTCCTACACTTCCAAGCTCTGTCTACCTCAGTCGACACAGAGCCTTACGATTGACAGAGTTGGATTTTCACCACAAAACATTGGTGGACGAACGCCGACCGGAAGGCCAACGGGTCATGAAACAACTCGCAGACGTTAGGCATGGCAGACCAGCGGGGCGGCAGACTGAACTCTCTCCGGGTCTTATAAGGCAAAGTGAAATTTGGAACACCGCCCAGCTGTATTGTGAGCAGAGGCGGGCGAGCATTGATCTTACACAGATATTGCTAACACCAGACCGCCTCCAAATAGTAACAGTGCCGCCCACCACCATTCAATTTACATACTCGGACGAGGGGTTTCTCTAGCTACCTTATGAACCATATGAGTTTAGTTTCCAGTTTTACCTCTCAGCGATGCCCCTGACACGGGACAAGTGGAAAGGCAGCACAGCACAGCACAGCAGAAACCAGCGAAGCGCTATGCCGCCGCAGGCGTGGAGCATCGCACCTAACACAGCGCAACGTATCGCCGGCTCGGATCTCGGCCCTCTCAGGCTCGGCGCTTTATGGTGAGAACAACAGGATGCTGCGCTGGTGCCGGCGGCGGCGGCGGCGGCGGCGGCGGATAGCGGTGCCGGACCGACCGGCCGGCCGGTCGTGGTCAGCGACGCGGAACGGGTCACCGGACAGTCGAGGAGGGAGACACATGATAGAGCGAGCCGGGAGTGCTGGGGAGGTGGGTGAATCTGCAAGAATTGAGATGTGGAATGTGTTCGTGGAATGTGACCGAACAGCTGTTGCTGAGAAGAGATGATTGTTGAAGCTGGACATATGCAGGAGTTAATTGGCCCAGCACCGTGCCTAGGACTGCCCGCTGCGGGTATCTAGGGAGCTGTCGGCCTGGTAACGGCGGCATGACTGCGGAAACGGACGAGCTGATTGATTGGTGTCGCTGGGAAACATAACTGGACGCGATCGTTCACAGCGGTGCCAAACTGTGAACTCAGAACTGTGGGCACGGGCTGCGCTAACGGGATTCACAGTGACAGAACCGCTATATTCTCCCATGTGAGATGTTCAATAATCCCAGCGTCTGAGCAGCTTCAATCGAAATATGCTGCTTACCGGTTAACGAAAGATGCTTCCTCATATTTTGACTGCCAGGAAAAACGTTAAGCACATAATTGTATGCCTCGTAAGTGTCTGTATCGTGCATCATAGTACGATGTCATGTTTCAACTATTCTTGACCTCCTCGTTTGTTTTGCAAAATATGAAGGTTTTCCACGCTTTTAATATGATTCACCTCGAGTGGCATTTAAGCGTTACCATTCTCACGCAGGTGTGAATGTTTCATTCCGAGTTCCGACATACCAAATGAGCGTCATGAATGAGGTAACGACTGGAAAATGCTGGCCATCATGCCACATCCGTGAGACTTCGATGGGCTCCAACTTCCGTCTAAAGAGCTTAGTGCGATTTATGGGTGAAACACCGGGCTATCATGAAACCACAGACCCGTACCTGGTCTGCAACGAAGTCAGGTGTGGCCAGACTATTTGGGGTGCAGCATTCACACGGATGGGGAAAAACGCTGGCATAAATGAGGGCTTATCGTATGAGACACGCCCAAGGCCGGGTAGAATTTCACGGTTGATGTTCTGACTCATGAACTCATAAGTGTTGTTTTCTTCCTATTAAATTTGCTGCTTCTATTCCACTGCAAGTTAAATTAAGTCCTGTCACAAGAATGATTTTTGGGCATATGAATCAATGGTATAGGGTTATAACATGTTCATGATCATGTCTACGCTTGTGTTCCGGCATTCCTA